TTTCAGTAGTACCCGATCTCTGACTTGGAATTCCAAGGGTTTGCGTTGTTTATCCGTGTAACTCTTTTACCGATCTCGGGATGCTTTCAGGCTTTCCCGAATTTGAGCAATCTTTTCTGTGGTCTCCATTATGATTTCAGGAACAGTGAGGGTGTTATTAGGGACTTTCCCCCTAGCTAGTTGAGTGTCCCCCACTTCTGCCCAACACAGGGGTGATCAACACTTGCGACCATAAAGAGCTTCGAATGGGGCGACTTTGATGCTAGTGTGATAGCTGTTATTGTAGGAGAATTCAATAAGCAGTAAATGGATATCCCATGCCTTACCAAGGTATATCACACAGGCTCTCAACATGTCTTCTAATGTCTATATGGTTCGCTCTCTTTGCCCATCGGTTTATGGATGATAGGCTGTACTCATGTCTAGCCTAGTTCCCAGAGATTTCTGTAGGTACTGCCAAAATCGTGAGATGAATCTACTATCTCGGTAAGAGATCATGGATATTGGTACACCATGCAGTCGCACAATCTCCTTGATGTACGTCCTGGTTAACTTCTCCATCATGTCGGTTTCCTTTATTGCCAGGAAGTGCGCAGACTTGGTCAATTTGTCTACGGTTACCCATATGGTGTCAAGCCCACCCAATGTCTTAGGCAGCTTGGTTATGAAGTCCATGGTTATCTGTTCCCACTTCCACTCAAGTATATTCGGCTGTTGTAGTAGTCCTGATGGCTTTTGGTATTCTACCATGACCTTGGCGCAAGTCAGACACTTGCCCACATAGGTAGCAATCTCAGCTTTCATGTTCGCCACCAGTACAACTTCTTGAGGTCTAGATACATCTTATCCGAACCTGGATGGAAGGAATATCGTGTCTTGTGTGCTTTGTTCATAACAACGTCTCAGAACCCACCGAACTTCGGTGTCCAGATCTGGTTCACGAGGTAGCGAGCTCCGTCTTCCTTGACTTCAAGGTTTTTATCCATCCCTCTCAATGCCTCTGTTGTCATGTTTTCTGGTTTCAAGGCTTCAAGTTGAGCTTCCTTGATTTGTGTGAATAGGTGCGAATGGATCGTCATTGTTAATGACTTCACGTGGCGACCCGAATATTCCTTTCTTCTTAGGGCATCGGCTACAACATTGGCCTTGCCCCGATGATAGCGGATTTCGCACTCGTAGTCGTTCAACAGCTCTACCCATCTTCTTTATCGCATGTTGAGCTCTTTTTGATTGAGGATATGATGAAGAATTTTATGATCAGTGAAGATGGTGCACTTTGTGCCATAGAGGTAGTGTGTCCAGATCTTTAAGGCGAACACTACTGCTCCCAATTCGAGGTCGTAGGTAGTATAATTAACTTCGTGGGTCTTAAGTTGCCTTCACGCGTAGGCTAACAAACCCTGAGAATTTCGACTCGATAGTTAAATTGATTTGACATGCTGGTATTCTAACCCGAAGGGAGTGATATGGGTTAGATATGAGTGTTGTACTAGTTGGCCGGTAGTGGTAGGTATGTTGATGATGGTTTGAGTTATTGTGATGTGTCTTGGGTTGGTTTCATCTGTGATAGAGCCATAACGTGTCTAAATTAAGGAGAAGATGGGTCACTAAAGACCAGGTAGGATGTGAGGCTGACGTGGGTCATGTAACATTCATTATGTTGGTAGGTGTTGGTGGCAGGGCATGGAAGCAGGTCCAGCCAACCGGTTTCTTTTTGGGAAGACACGTGCGACTGCCGTTTGTGTATGTGTTTTGGTTCAATAATTGGTGAGGTGTCCGATGTTCGGGTTATTGGTAGACAAGTTGGGACCAAGGAGGTTTCGACTTCGCTTGAGAAACGTCATATGGTAGCAGTAAGAGTTGAAGTGGGTTTATGACTTGGGATTCATGTGTGGTAGTAGTTTTTGTATCGTTATGTTGTTCATTGATGAGAGGAGCATCGATTAGGCCCTTCGAGTGGCGGAGGAAAGTGGATATCCGCAGGGTCGGAGTGTTGGGCAACTAAAGTGACGAGAGTAGTGTTGATCGGTCATCGGGAGCATTCTAGTCATGAGTGGAGGGCCAGGGAGGGCATACCACTCATGTTGTGGGCTCAGAGGCAATCCAACCCTATGTTGAGGACCGCGTAAGGGTATTCCAATCATAGGCTGTGGGAATGGAGATTGTGTTGGTTATGTCTGTGTAGGAGCACGTTCGGATTAGATGTATTGTTGAAGATTCCGGGGAGTTGCACTCCATTGTGAAGAATCTGAGGATGGTGGATGAGACGCAAGGATAGATCTTTGGACCTCCGGTTATGAGTACACCCGAGTTATATTCATGGAGGTATTCCAATCTTGGGTATTCTATCCTGAGGATGACCGGACCCTATGATTGATTGGATATGATATGTTTGGTATTCTACGAGGGTTGGTTGGGCCAAACATGTGAGGGATACGTGGGTATTCCATCCTAGGGATGATTGGAGCCGTCAAAGGCTCGCCTGGTATTCTATCCCCGAGGCTTATTGGGCCACACATGAGTGTTCGTATTCATTAGTGGATTAATTATATATGATATTCTGAGAGCTGAAGGATGCATTATCATGTCATCAAAGAGTGTTCGCTCCAGGAAAAGGGAATGTTAGGTTTCTTATACTTTGGATCATCATGATTTTGTCAAGTTGGTAGAGTGGCATGAAGGATAGACCTTATGAAAAGGTTCGATTGGGATTCACATCACCTTTCACGATTCTCACTTGCGAAAGTGCATCATGGATCAGGAGGTGGTAGTATCGTTGGACGACATTCAAGTCGGTGAGCGCCATTCTGGAGAGAGGTAGGAGGTTCTAAGAGACAAGGACGTACGTTTGGTAAGAGTACAGTGGGAGCACTAAAGAGGGTCTGAGTGGGCCTGGGAGTCGGAGGCAGAGTTGTGGGAGCACTATCCGAGGATGTTCGCCGCAGTAGACTTCGAGGATGAAGTCTAGTTTATGTGGCGGAGAATTGTAACACCCTGATTCACGAATACCAATTTATGGTTATAAATTCTCATGAATTCAAGATCTACTCGACGAGTTGGTTTCTTGACTCGTCGAGTAGCATTGGGTTTGGGCTATGTGTTTAAGTGACCAACTCGCCGAGTCGGAAGAGTGACACGATGATTTGGAGCTGGAGGGTGAAACCCTAGTTTCTGGGGTTTGGCACCCTATTTAAGGGATCATTAGCCTCCCTTAGTCCCTTTGCAGCCTCTTGAGAGTCCAGAAACCCTAATTCGTGTGTGCTCCATATTAGTGTGAAAGAAGACCTTGATGCAAGAAACTTGAAGATCAACAAGTTGGAGGCAAGAACGTTTGTGGGTCTGAAGTCTATCTCAGGTAGCTTCATTTGAGGTATCAATTCATGATCTTGGCCTCATTCCTTTGTAGATCTGTTTGGATGAAGTTATGGCTTCTTGGCTTCGTTATGAATCTATTCTTGGGTATGAGCTCAGATCTAAAGTTGTAACTTCAGATCTGAACTCTCTTTGATTTGTAATTCCGTAAAGTTATCAGCATTGGCAAGCATGAACCCCTCCTTAGGTGTAAAACCCCATTTCAAGCTTGGTTTTGGCATTTTGAATCATTAGAGCCTTGCATGCACATAAAGTTTGCAACTTTACGTGATAAGCATGCCTTGGGAACTTGGATTTGTGGTATGGAGCCTTAGCATGGCTTAAAAAGCATCTGTATGGATGAATGACTGAAGGGAATCGACGAGTCGCATGGTAGACTCGACGAGTCATATGAAGATGGTCATGAACTCCACAGGTTGGATGAACAAATCCATGAGTCTGATGTGGATTGCCTTGGGCTCAACGAGTGGCATTGAGACTCGGCGAGTTGGCAAGTTATGCCAGGAACTCGGCTAGTAGCTGAGGGTAGTCGATGAGTTGAGGTCAACATGGACTGCTGACCTTGATAATTGACTTTGACTTTGACCAAGGGTTGACCGTTTTGACTTTTGAGGATAATGGGAATGCAGATATTTATGAATTGGATCATTGACAGTTATAGGTGTTGGAGTTTGGGGCAGTGTTTCAGGAGTGTGATCTCGTGGTTCAGTCTGGCATTGCAAGGTGAGTTATCCTCACTATTATAATGGGTCTAAGGCACCAACACCGGCCCATTAGATTACACTAGTAGTTATTGATATGTTGGGTTTGAGTTAGTGATGTATGTTGGTTGATAAGCTAGTCGGGTAGATCTGTAGGATTACATGTGATACTGTATGATTATATGTATGTGCATTAGTTATGTTATATGTCGACATGTTAAGTGGGATGGGTTGAGGTTGTACTACTCCGTGCGGTAGCCAACAAACCCTAGAGTATTCCAGATATGAGTTGAGGGATGGGCAAGGCATTCCAGACTCATACTCAGGACTCAGGAGCATTCCAGATACGAGTTGAGGGTCGGGTAGGGCATGCCAGACTCATACTGTGGGCTCGGTGGCGATGCAGATGTGAGATGTGGGCCCAAAAGGCAATCCAAACTCACACTGTAGGCCCCAAGGGTAATCCAGTATGTAAAGTTGTGGACCCATTGCATGTTGTTCAATTTGTTATGTTATGATATTGCTGATATTGTTGTGGACTGTATGTGTATCAGTATTTTGGTGGTAACTCACTAAGCTTTCGGAATTATAGTTTTAGTTATGGTTTCATGTTCAGCGGATGGCTGCGGGTAGGAGAAGGCGTGACCGTACACTTCCTCGATTGATGATTATGATTTCTAGGAACTCTGATGTATAAATTATTTTGAAAACAAACCGTAATAATTGACTGGTTTAAATTGATTTAAAAAGTTTTAAATTTGCTCAAATTTATGGGTGTTACACTGAGCAAGTTCAGAAGGTTATTAAGGCTGCTAAGAATAAGAGGTGCATACCGATCCACCTCTAGTTGTTGCTCATAAAATATTCTCGAAGTATGACAAGGAAGTAATACGTTCGCAATCTGGTGTGCTAAAGAACTTGAAAAAGATGGCACACAAACCTCATAATTTCGCTAAGAGATCCAGATGTTTTTCACCAACCTTTAAGGTTAATCCTCAAATTAGTCGAAAAGGGGGTTTGTTTCGTGAAGTACAAACATGTGTTTCTCTAGCTTCGAAGAAACGGAGGGCAAAAGACATGGCTAAATGTATTTCAAAGAAACAGAAGAATAAGCTAAGGATGTTGGTGATTCATGATGAATCCATGGATGAGGAAGTGGTTCCTGAGTATCCTATTTACGAAGATCAAATAGGCCATTCATCACATGTGAATAATAATCTTGATGGCTCTATGGAAACTTCTACAATAGATACACCCATCACTTCAGGTGCACAATCAAATACATCTACTCCTGAGAAGGCGATAGTCATATCACCCCGGAGTGTCAAATGCCGAATCATTTCATGAGGAGGCTCACACTTCAGACATCACTATGAACATATCTTATATGGACACAAATGTTAGTATGGGTGAAGGAGTCTCAACAACATCTAGCCAAGGTAACTCTTTTATTGTTATATCATCTACCTTTAAAAACACCACCTACTACTACATTTGTTTCGTTACCTTCATTTACACTTCCTACTTCAACCACATTACCTTTCACCACTCATTCAAAAACTTTTGATAATATCATGCAATAATCCATTACTTCTCTATTCCTATCCCAATCCATGGAAGGTCCCAAAAGTGTTAATGATGATGAAATAGATAATGGTGGGTTTGTGGGTTCTTTTGCATATATTGAGTTTGATCCTATTGAGGAGGATATTCCAGATCATATGCTGATGTATGGAAAGAAATTTAAGATTCTGAATCGGAAAATTAACTCATTGCTCCATTTACAAGCTGATGGTTGTGGAAAACATTCAGTGTCGGGTATTGAGGTGGAGGTCATGTTAAAAGTTCAAGAACATCGAATTCAGGATAAACTTGATCAACTTGATTAGAGTAATGAGCTAAGGGTCAAAGCTCAATCTAAGACATTTAATAGCGCCTTTAGAGATTTGAAAGACATTGCGAAAGCCAGGCATGTTCTCCATGTGCAATATGTCAAGACGGTTCGAGAGAATGTCAACTTCAAAATACATGAGTTAAGGGATGATATGGCGAATGAACTTTCAGTTCTCAATCACAATCATTCTACGCTTCATATGAAGCTAGATATAATTGTTGATTCCATAACAAAAGCTATTGAATGGTATAATTCGTTAGTTCCCAAGTTTGATAAAAAGGTGGAACTTGATGCTACCAGTTTTGGTGATATGGCAAAGTTAATCGCTGAGTTAAAGGAACTTTTGCCAAAGTCTGGATCTTTGACATCTTTAATTTTTACTCCTGAGTTCTTCAATCAAAAGATTACCTTGCTCGAGTCCATACTTCATAAAGAATTAGCTCCACTTGCGAAACCTCTCCCAATAGTGCCAACGGGTGCCCCACCTGTTGTTACATAGGTACAAGGGGGAGAAAGAAGGTATGTTGGAATAAGAAAAGGTGAAGGAGTTTCAGGCAAAACAAGCGAACATGCAAAGGTAGTAGGGAAGGTTTTAACTACACAGATTCCTGTCACATTGCCAAGCAAAAATGATCTAATAACCTCAACAACAACAACAACAACAACAACAACCACCACCACAACAACGCCATTAAGAAAGGGAATTGTGATTGGTGGTACTGATGGGTTTTGGTCCTAAGAACATCCTATGTGCTCATACAAACCCTAATACTTGGATCTAGGTTTCTCTATTGTACATGCAAGTTATCCAAGACTATAAACCCTAATTCTAGCATTCAAATAATCATATTAACATGAGAATAGGGTTATAATGTTACCTTGATTGTTATGTAGCAATAACAACCACAAATCCTCCTTGAATTGACTTTGGAATGCTTAGAGTCACAAGTGTCACTCCTCTAATGGTTCACAAACACCATAAGCAAGAGGATGAAGAGGAGAGAGGTTGGAGGCCACCAAAAACGTGTAGAAACCCTACAAAAAGTTTAGCCATGTTTTTGAGCCTTAAGGGGTCTTTATATAGTTGGGCTATTAGGGTTATCTAACAAGGAAACCCTAATTTGGATGCTTAAGCCCTAAGCAACCCATAGACTCCTTTTAATCAAGCCCTTGAACGATTTCCTTATGGGCTTCCCCATTGAGTTCGTTCAACCCTTGATACAAGGAAATCCATGGCCCAAATTGCAATTATCTTATAATTACAATTCCAGTCCCTTAAGTTTAATTAATCTCTTTTAGTCACAAAACTAATTACCAATTAATTATTGACTAATATTAATTAAACAATATGATTTCTCCTTTAATATATTATTCCCATAATATATTAATAAATCATATTTAATCCTTTCTGTCCATAATAATCCTATCAAGTTGCTTTGGTGAAGGCAACCCAAAAGGACCATGCACCATCGGGTCAAGTACATACCAAAATAGTTATGGACTTAGACACTAATCCAACAGTCTCCCACTTGGATAAGTCTAATAACTATTATGCGTATGACTTCAGATCCTGATCAGCAACCGTAGCTTTCCAAAGCCACTGTCAACTCTGATCCTATTAGATACGCGTGTCCTTACATAAGGGATCATATATTCCTCCATTCTAGATATCGTATGAGATATGATTTCTAATCATTCTCTTTGTACTATTTCTCATTTCCCGATTTATGATGACTGACTAATTGAACAAATCAAATTAGCCCTAGCCCGACCGAGCATTTACGTTTGTCATCACTAAATCATCGAGGGGCCCAAAGATATCGCTTTTGTCCTACTTTGGATAAAAGGGGCGGATAAAATTTGATACAATGCTTGCTTGCACTCACTCACCGAATCACACACAACAATATGTTTTATAACACCAAGTTACTAGTGCGTTTTCATATTATCAACGTGCAACCGATTAGCAAGATACAACTCACACATCTCGGTTTCAAGAATATAAGATGTTATCGTCTCACCAATCACTCGTGATACAATTCATGGAGTGATCCAAGTGAGCGTGGGTTTAATCCAATGCTCAAATTCATATTCATAAGCACTCATGAACGTTGCAACAAACATTTGCTTATGTCTAATACTCTTTTAGACAATCCACACACCAATTCATGACAGTCTTCATTCAAATCTACTTCCAACATATGAACGACTGTGGCCCGTTCGAACAATTTGATTATTCTTAATAAACTCAATTATTCTGGAAGTCAAAACATGCAAAGTGAAACACAAGAATAATACTAATCCCATATGGCCTCAACCCTTTGAGTATAAATAAAACTCCTTTTATTTATCACCATATCGATTACTCATTATTTGTCGTTTCGGGTAATCAACTTCTGACTTGAATTATTACACTTGTCCCATGCTCCTAGCATGCACATAATGTTTACCTATGGTTCTTACTTTGTGAAATAGATCACATTGAACACATTTCCAATCATTCTCATTTCACAACTCCAAATCCTTTTTCATAAGTGAAAGAATATCAAATTCTTGCTACTTATAGAATATGCCAGATTCTAACACTTTACGCAACGATCCTTTCGTAATGTCACTGCATCAAAGTCACAAAGACTATTGCCAATGATATTGCAAAGTTCTCTAATGGAGATCGTTACAAGACAATTCATTAAATATGATGTCTCTCACTCATAGTACATTCCTTTGAACATCTTTTTGCATAAAGGTTTCTAATCTAGTCATAAATTTCTCAATATTTACTTCCCAATATGGACACACTTCCATATCTTCCATATGACAACTCATTTCTTAATAGAATCTTTTCTATTTATAATAATGTCAATATGCTCCATTAATACCATGCTTCCAACTACTCATAAGCAATCAATCCTCGTCGAACTTTGGATTGTCCTTTGATAGTTGTTTAATTATTTTAGTCAAAACCAATTCTAGTCCCTTTCCCTGTAAATGCGCTAGACATTTGGAAAATTTTTAGAATGGTCAAATATTAAAGCATTTGCAATCGATCCTATGCCCGAAGCGTATGGGACACGACACATAATGTTTTATTTGCTATGTTCTCAAAATTCGAATTGTGAAGAGGAATGCCGTAATCATAATCGACATTTTAAGAACACACTATGTACCTTTTACTAAATTTATTAACATTCCACAACCTAATCCTTTAGATTTGAAATGAAGCATAATATTCTCTCCCTTAATTATAGCAAAACAACTATTCCATCCTTACAACTTTGCAAAGAATGACTCTTGTTTTCTATAATTAATATTGGCCACTTGCAATACTTTCCTTAATAATCATATAATGATAACATTTATGCTCCCACTATCATGATGATTATTATAAAACATAACACTTATGCTCCCACTAGCTTCGACATGTATTCAAAACATCTTAACTTCCAGAAAAACAATAACTATTGAATTTCTTAAGTCCATGTTTCTAATAATTAGTGCTTTGATAATCTTTTATCAAGGCCTCTTAAACCTATACACCTTTTCCTTAGATAGTTCATATGTGTGTCTAAACAATTAAGACTAATTGCCAAACCTCACAATTCAAATCATGGAAAGGGATACCGTAACCATAATTGAATTCGAGAATGCAACTTTACAATCACTATCTTCTTAAAATCTTTCTTAGTGAAAGCATTTCCTCACAATCATTTTCATGAAGGAGGAAATCTTATGACACTTAGATTTAAACGGTGTATGTGTTCCTATCCATGTGAATTTGTTAAAACCAAAGTTTACGACAAATTCAAACTCATATGGACCAAACTTTCTTAATCTTGATTTCTTGCCTTATGGTAGCACGGCTGCCCACCACGTCTTCCAAGTAGTTAAACAGCTCACTTTTTCCTATCAATGTACCTTTCATTGATCAAGGTGCCTTGCCTTTTATGCGTTCAAAATGAGAACTCATAGGACTCACATGCATAATTAACTCATTTGGAATAGCACAGAATCAAAATATTGTCAACACGATAGGTTGTAAAACTCAAATCGTGTGCTAGTGATGATCAATAAGGTTTATTTGATTTCAAGACCATTAAGACTCCCACTGACTCCTTGACATATAAGATTCTCTTGTCAATAAACATTTGTTGACAATCAAATATTCAAGAGTTAGTGTAGCTTTTATCAAAAACATTTCATAAATTGGTCCTAGTCGGTCTTTGTCTTATTCAAGACATCACAACTTTCCACATTTGATGAATGTTATAAACCTTTAATACTTTTCACTCATTGTCACAATCTTAACTTTAAGACTTGTTATTGGAACGAAGTATGATAGACTTCTTGATTTAACCATTTCTTCAATCCTTGATTCCTCTTCTTAAACATACAATTGTACTAAGACTCACTTATAGGATCAACTGAGATATGGTTCTTAATCATTAAGACCTATCATAAAGCATAAAAGCTACTCTCCCTTCTTCTTAGAATGTAGAAACTCTTATCTTTCTGCCTACTTGATTCTTCTTATTCGTTCTACTATTGATCTAAACCCTTTAATCAATTCAGAATTACACTTAATCTTGTAAGTATAATCATATTTAATAAACCTTAAGTAAATCATGACGAATATCTTTGTTACTCTTATGGTGAACATGATCAACACACAACTTTGTGTACTCGATCTCCTAGTCCTTCACTTGACACTTTGTCAATGAATTAGTCTAATTTCCAAATATGAAATTTCTCATTCATCATGCAACCAAGTTGCATGTTTCCAAATTTCTGTCCAATTGAAACTTTGGGTGATGAGAAACTCTCCCTATTTGGTAAATTCTTGACATTTCCATAAATAACATAACTAAGAATCATATCCATTCGTTGTAGAAATATGCTAACATCAATTTTCATAACGATTTCATTGCAAGGAAATATACAAATAAATAAATAAGTCAAACAAAATTTATTTTATTTATAAAAGTAGCGAAAAAATTTGTCCTTACAATGCAAAATCCATTGAAAACTATGTATTTCAAAAGGAAAATTTCTAACAACTCTATCATAACTATCTAAGCTCAAAATCTAATCTTCAAGTCCATGCGATCGAGATCCATCTCTTGTGATTAGATTCATCTTGCTCTCTTATCAAGCTTCCTTTCTTTTCACCGATCCTGCAAAACACTCAAATGCAATCTTATCACATCATGTATGACGAATCAATGAATAAGAACTTAATGGAGTTAGATAGCAGATTCTTACCTAAAGTAGAGCCATACGTTCTGACTCTCCTGTCTCTTAGATCACTTAGGTAATTAGGGCAACTTCATCTCCAATGCCCCTTCTCTTGGCAATAAAAGCAAATTGACTCTTTTGGAACAACACATGGAACTACTTCAGACATCGCCTTTCTCTTATGATCAACCCTTTTGATCATTTCATGTCTTTCATTGCCATTGTCTATATCCATAGAGGTCTTGAAGGCAGATTCACCAATCAACT